GCTAAACAGTTGCAGGGGACCTGGTGGGAGGACAGAAAACCCCAACAACAAGCAGGCCTAGCCCCCTCCATGTTACAGCCAGGGGCTACACAGAGAAACCTTATCTTGAAAAATAAAAAAAGGAAGGAAGGAAGGAGGGGGAGTGTGTTGTTGTTGCTTTTGTTGCTATTGTTATTTTTAATCAAAATGTTATAAGAAAAAACCTCAAGCAACAACAACAAAAACACCACACATTACACTGAAAAACATCACCAATACTTAACCAAGCAGAAGAAATAGCAGTTAAGATTCCACCAGAAAACTCTTAGGCCCAATAAATATTTTCATAAAAGTAAAATGAATTAATGAAATGGAGACTGAAAAGAAATACATATAATCAATTAGAGGTAGTGTCTTGAAAAAAAAAAAATAACCAAAATTGAAAAACCCTGAGTCAGCACAACCAAAAGAGAGAAGACCTAATGAAATAAAACTAAACATGAAGAAAGAATGGTGTTTGTGTGTATATGTATTCATAGGTCACAAAACTAGAAAGAGAATTGCAATATGGACAGAGAAGCTCTTCTGTGCGATGGAAAGTAGAATAATGAGATACACACAGTGGGAAGGTGGCAGAAAAGACAGAGGGCACAGAGGAGAGTCAGCTGAGGGGAAGGACAAGGAAGAGGTAGAACAAATGGAAAATAGGTAGGGTGACATTCATCTGGAGAGACCATGCTGAGATCCACTGCTCTGCACTGTAGCCTAAAAATGTAATGAGGTCTAAAAGGATGAAAATATTTTCAAAAGATATTTATCTTTACTTAAAGATAGAAATTGCCAAGTCATACTTAAATGTAAATTCCATACCTATATTTTATTCCTAAGGTTGCTTAAGTCAAATAAACCCTTTATTCTCCAACTTGCTTTCTGATCATGGTGTTTCATCATGGCAAGAGAAACTAAGATACTGTGTAACATGTAGAAATAAGTAATAAAGCAACTGTAAGGAGGAAGTCAGGACAGGAACTCAAAATAGGCCAAGTGGAGAGAAGAGCTGATGCAGAGACCGTAGAGGATTGCTGCTACCGGCTTGCTCAGCCTGCCTGTGGAGCCCAGGACCACCAGCTCAGGAATGACGCCACACGCAATAACCTCTCCCCCATCAATCACTAATTAAGAAAATGTCCGACATCTGGATCTTATGGAGGTATTTTCTCAATTAAGAAGGCCTTGCAGACACACTTTGTGTGTCAAGTTAACATAAGACTAGCCAAAACATGGGGAAAATAGTTAAGCAGTTAAAAGCAGTGGCTGTTCTTTCAGATGGACCCAGGTTCAATTCCTAGCACCAACATGGCAGTTCACAAATGCCTGTAATTCCAGTCCCAGAGGATCCAACACCCACACACAGATATACATGCAAGCAAAATAAATTACACATTAAATGCACATTAAATAAATACAATTTAAAAAGACACTAAATATGTTTTCTTAAAAAGGCTAGATAAAACATATGGGTTATTCATACTTATATTTTATACCAAAAGAGGTCTATTTTTCCCTTTGAGACACAGTCTCTACGTAGTAGGCTAGCTTCAAATTCATCACTCTCCTACACCAAGTTTATGCTGTTTGAATTGTAAGTTGTTGCTTTAAATTTGAAATATAAATTGATATTCAAGTGTTGATTATATATAATATTTCTGATAGCTTATGATACTGTAACAAAAGCCTTTTCTCTCAGGGAATGGTAACAACAAGCATGTTAGTTTTTTGGGGGGCTTATCTGTGCCCCACTTTCTCTTTCCTTTATGGTGCAGAAAGTGGTGTCTTTGGGGAATTCTGCCACTGCTGCAGCATGGTAAAGACACAGGTTTTAGTGCTCCCAACAGCAATCACACACTTCACTTCTGCTGCTTTGGGCCTATGGCAGCACAGAATAAAGCAAGGCGGGAACTCCAAGCAGAGACAGAGGAGAAAGAAGGTGAAGTCAGGGAGATGCCATGTAGCTACCAAAGGAGTAACACTCAGGCACCGGTAAGCCACAGCCCAGTGGTGATACATAGATTAAGAGAAATGGGTTAATTCAAGATATAAGAGCTAGCTTATATCTAGAGTTATTAGCCAAACGGTATTGTAATGAATATAGTTTCTGTGTGATTATTTTGGGTCTGGGCAGCCAGGAAGCGAACAAGCAGCCTCCACCTACAAAACAGGGTAAGCCAAATTTTTTATGCATCTGCACAAAATCAAACATGAACCAAGAGTCATCATTTCCAGTCAGCAAATTCAATTTCATGCTACTAATGGACGAACATGTATATCTGACAAAGGGCTTAAATGGAAAAAAGAAGGAAACTGGCTTATATTTATTTAGAGAAACCCTGAAAATCAGTATTTGACTTCTTTTAGTGATTGGGTTGGGAGAATTGTGGATGAAATGTCAGTAACTTCAGATCCATCTTAAAAGTGTCCTGTGTAGTGCCATGTCACATCACAGGCAGGACAACAAACACAGAAATGTTCTTCTAGATTCTGAAAATTATTGTGTGGTTGAGAAGTCAAACACATGGTTGCAAATAAGTGATGTTCCGATGTTAATCTTTGTATTTGCACTTTCATCTCAGTTGCTAATGTCAAGGAATGTGTCAACTAGAATGAACAGACTCCTGTCCTTCTGTTGCAATCACAGGGAATCTACATTTTAAAGAATGAGAAAGAGAGAGAAGAAAGAGAGAAAGAGAATTCTTTTTTTTTTGTTTTTTTTTTTTTGTTGTTGTTGTTGTTTTTGTTTTTCGAGACAGGGTTTCTCTGTGGCTTTGGAGCCTGCCCTGGAACTAGCTCTTATGGACCAGGCTGGCCTCGAACTCACCGAGATCCGCCTGCCTCTGCCTCCCAAGTGCTGGGATTAAAGGCGTGCGCCACTGTCGCCCGGCAAGAGAATTCTTTAACAAGCAATTGACTATATGGAATTCACAAAAGTTCTGTACTGTTTGTTATTTTAAGTTATTCAGTATGCATCCTTTATTGTATGAGCATTATAATGAACTTCTCTCTATATAAGTCCATGATTTGGGGAAGAGCTAGTTGTTAAGCATTTACTAGCAAGTACTAAGACTAGCCAAAGCATCTGATTTGATGAATATCAAATACTATATTATGTGTATACAGTTAAATGACTGGAAAGTGTACTGATCCGTTTCCAGTTATGCTAAACACAAAGATGAAGACTTCTTGAGAATTTCAAGATACAACACAGGAAATAACCGGCAAATCAGTATGAGCTGCCAAAAAGAAGAATTCAGGAAATGTAGTAATGAAGCAACATTTGGGTCAGAAGAGTGAAGTCTACAATTCGAATGTTTACGTATATCCCTATACATCAGAAAGATTCCACTACAAACTGAGGATTAGAGTGTTTGTCACAGTGCTTTGTGTATGGTAAATGTTCAATATGTATCTCTTGAATTGTATACTGTCTGTTGCTGTGAAGAGACACCATGACCATGGAGACTCTTATAAAGGGAAACATTTAATCGGGGCTGGCTTCCAGTTCAGAAGTTTAGTCTATTATCATCATGGCAGGAAACATGGCAACATTTAGACAGACATGGTGCTGAAGAAGGAGCAGAGCTTTCTGCTTCTGAATTGGCAAGCAGCAGGAAGAGAGAGTGCCACTGGGCCTGACTTGGGCTTCTGAAATCCTAAAGCCCACCCCTAGTGGCATATTTCCTCCAACAATGCCACCCCTACTCCAACATGGCCACATCTCCAAATAGTGCCTCTCCCTATGAGCCTATGGGTATTATCTTTCAAACCACCATATATACTAAAGGGAAATCTGCCAAAAAAAAAAAAAAAAAAAAAGATAAGTAGTCATATGGGCAGAAAGTATCAGGACTGGATAGTGAAATGATATACTCATAATTTGGCAGAAAAGTACCAATAAGTGTGTAGTGATTATTCTAATAGTACATTTGGTATAACATTCTCATAATATACCAGAGTAAGGACAGGGAAGGGTCCCCAGTCATACGCAGCATCCTCAGAAGTACTGGGAACTAGGCTGTAACTTGAATAGTATCTTAAAGAAAAAAAAATCAATTTATCACAGTCTCCTACTTTGAGTTACCATGAAAGTCAAGCCTTGGGCTCTTTCCCAGGGCTACCATGATTACATACTTCGGGAGAGTCCACAGGTTTCACCAACTACCCTGTTTCTGTAATTTTATTTCTTGTATGAGCTTAAATATGAATGAGTGGTTGAAATTAAAATTAGCAATATGTTAATCCAGATACTCTCCAGCAGGTGCTCATCAACAAAGGGGGGGAGGAGAAAATGAGACATATATTTCACACTTTATTTATGTATATTATTCAGCCATAAAAATGAATGAAGTCCCATCAGTCATAACTTATATAAAATATAATAGTAGATCATCATGTTAAACACAGAAAGACAGGCAGCATATACATTTATTCACTTGCTGAAACTAATAAGATAATCTCATAGAAGCATAGAATGAGATAGTGGTCACTACAGGCTAGGGAGGAAAGCACAAAGATAAGGTCAACGGGGCAACCAAAACACAGAGATGGCAAAATAACATGGAGTAAATTTCAAAATAACTTCAACGGCTATGGATACAAGTCATTGTGACGATGCTTGCCACTAAGCCTGAGAACCCGAGTTCAATCTCTAAGACCTTTATGGTAGAAGGAGAAATCTATCTCCCACAGTTGTTTTCTGACTTCCACACATGTGCATGCACGCTCACACACACACACACACACACACACTAATAAACAATTTTTATTTTTCCAATACATAATAATCATCAGTGGTCACAGCTGGATCCACTGAGTGCCCTGATTTGGTTATCCATAGTGTATATGGGTTGAATTGCTATAATGTATTCATAATGATGTGCAGATACTGCTGCAATTTACAAATTAAATTCAAACTGGCTTTGTGTTAAATTTAATTAAATAGCAACTAATTAGAAATGGATTTTCAGATTTTTCAAGGCTGTCTGAATAAAGAGAAGAAAGCAAGAAGAAACGGAAGGGATGGGCCAGAGAAAGGGATCTTGGGAGAAGACAAATCCCATAGCCTTGGCATCTCTGACCTAGAGGCCAAGGGGAACTCTGTGACGTAACTGCAGTGATCAGTCAGGTTTGTAAAGTCTCTGCTGTAATCGCTGCTTTGCCTCTTTTTCTAAAGCTGCAGATGTTTTCTGGAAATTTCATCATGATGCCAAAGTGACTACATAGATTTTTAACTTTCAATTTCCAAATGAGAATAAGGTGCCTACAACTTTATTTCATAGTGTGGTACACAGAAATAAGATACCACAATATCTAGAGTTTGTTATCTTAAAAAATAACTTACATAATTATAGAAATTTTAACTATAAAAATAAAAGCAATTAAAGTGATCCTGCTTGTTGCAACTATAAGAAAAAGTAAAGCATTATATGCAAAAAAAAACATATTGGGAACTCAGAAGCAATCAGTAGGGAAATTAAAAGCTATCACTGTGTTTAAGGGGCATTTGAGGAGCAAAGAAAAAATAAAATCTGTCAAGTCTACAAATTAAAAAAGGGGATCGAAATCCCAGCAAAGGTACCAGGAAGCTTCATCCAGAAAAAGAAGAGATAGCAAGACAATTACAGCAAATCTGAAAACTGATTACTAGAAAGGGTTCATAAATTAATCAAGAAGAGCCGGGCAGTGGTGGTGCACACCTTTAATCCCAGCATTCAGGAGGCAGAGGCAGGAAGATCTGTTGACAGAGGTTTCTGTCCCACCCAGTCCTGCAGCCATTCAATCCCAAAGAAACACACAGAGGTCTATATTAATTATAAACTGGTTGGCCTAGTAGCTCAGGCTTTCTTATTAGCTACCTCTTACATCTGACATTAACCCATAATTTGTGTCTGTGTTAGCCATGTGGCTTGGTACCTTTTATCAGCGAGGCATTCTCATCTTGCTTCCTCTGTGTTTGGGTGATGACTGCAGACTAAGCCTTTCCTCTTCCCAGAAATCTCCTGTTCTGGTTGCACAACCTATACTTCCTGCCTGGCTATCCACCAATCAGCATTTTATTAAACCAGTACAAGTGACAAATCCTTACAGAGTACAAGACCATTATCCCACAGAACAAATCTCTATGAGTTCGCAGCCAGCCTGATCTACAGAAGCTAGTTTCCAGGACAGCTAGGGCTGTTACACAGAAAAAAACAGTTTCGAAAAACAAACAAACAAATAAAATAATCAAGAAGGAAAAAGAAAACAGTATGTCATAAAGATGAGAAATGTTGCTGTGAAATCCAGTTCTAAATGTGTGTGTACAGTGTAATGTGGTATGTGTGTGTGGTGTGTGTATAGTGTGGTGTGGTGTATGTGTATGTGTGTGGTGTTTAGTGTGTGTGTGTGTATGTGCGGTGTTTGTGGAGTGTATGTAGTGTGGTATGTTTGTGTATAAGTGTGTGAGTGTGTGTGGTGTTTAATGTGTATGGTATTTAGTGTGTGTGTGTATGTGTGTAGATGAATATGCACAGATATATGGATGACATGGACAGAGCAAGAATGTATGAGAGAAGGAAGTATTCTGACAGGAGTGGAGGAAGAAAAAGTGGGGTAGTAAAGGGTAGGTATCATGAAAGTAGGAGGTGGGGGGCGGTGACCAGAAGAGAACAAGAGAGGAATCAAGGGGATAGTGGGGGGGGTGAATAATATCAATTTTGAAAATAGCATAATAAAATCTATTTATTTGTATGCTAACTAAAAATTTATTTAAAGCTAGTAATAAAGGGGCACATGTTTAATCCCAGAACTAGGAAAGTAGATGCAGAAAAATTTCTGTGAGTTCAAGGTCAGTCAGGACTACATGGTGAGATTCTGTCTCAAAACAACAACAATAATAAATATGTATATTAAAAATATACTAGCAGTATTAAAACTGAAGAGTGGAGACTAAGTATGACTAAGAAGAAAATTATTTATTGTCATTGATGTGGTTTTTTGGGTTTTGTTTTGTTTTTTCAGAGAAGAGGTTTCCCTGTGTAGCTCTGGCTGTCCTGAAACTCTCTCTGTAGGCCAGGTTGGCCTCTAACTGAAGGATCTGCCTGCCTCTGCCTCCCAATTGCTTGGATTAAAGGGTGTATCATTACTTTTAGCAGAAACTCTTAAAATGATAAAATAATAGTTTAAGTTTTGACCATACTCATTTACCTATTACATTAAAAAAAATTTTAATACATAGCACATATTTGTGGTTCTAAGTTCAAAATCCTTCAAGTGTATACTGGAAAAAGTGTCTGTCCCACCAGGTCCCCCACTGCCCATCATCTCTCCAGCCTTGTCATTTACCTGTGATTATTTCCACAAACATATTTTCAGGCTAATACAAATATGACTTTTCTTATACTTTTTCTCACACATAAGAGAAAATTAACTGGTACATTTAAAGAACGTTCCTAGAAAATAATGGCAAGCATGCTTTGCAAATCCTTTAAGAAGCATAATCCTCTTTTACACATGCTTTGGATACTAGAAAATGAAGGATGATTATCCTAGCTACCAAAGAGGACTGGGCTGCATGGCATTCATCCCATTCTGTATAGTAGACAGTCATTTGCAGGCAGATCTCTGTGAGCTCGAGACCATCCTGGTCTACAGAGTGAGCTCCAGGACATAACAGTTCCAAAGCTACAGAGAAACCCTCTCTAAAAATAAAATAAAATAAAAAACCTTGAATCTCTTGGCCCAACACCAGATGTCACCTGGGCTCTGTTGTTCAACTTCACTCCTGAAACTTTAATTTGGAAATGAATCACAGGAAGGGCTGAGCCCCATTCTGCTGCAGTTAACTGTGAAAGACTCCTTAAGGTCGTGAGCCAGGAGCCCAGAACAGTGTCCTGACTGTGGCAAGCTTCCTGCTGAGCAGATTATAGGTTATAAATTCTGACCCTGCCTATCATTCAGGCTGCTAGGTTTGATTGGCAGGTAATGCGTCGCCTAGGTGGCTTCCTGGTTGTGGTAGAACCTCCAGTGCCATTATCTTCAGATGTTCTCCTGTAGCCCCCACTGTGTCATCTCTGATGGCCCTGTTTTGAAATAAGGATTTGATCAGAGTTCCTGGAACTCAAGTGGAAATGCTCTTTTTTCAGACCTTGAATTCTAAGGAAGCCATTCACCAACTGTCAAGAGGAGTTTAGAATGTAGCTTCTTGAGGGGCACATGGCAGTGGCTTACCAGAAGATATTTAGCATGTATGTCTCTGGCGGCTGATGGAGTTTCTCTCCTACTCCACCTTTCTTCCTCCCAGCATTGAGTTCTGTTTTTTCCACCTACCTAAGTTCTGCCCTATCAAGTATCTGCCCTAGGCCAAGGCAGTTTCTTTATTCATTAACCAATGAAAGCAACATGCAAAAAGAAGGAACTCCTACACCACACACACATACACATGGGGGCACATGCGTACATTGTATGTGTGTGTGTGTGTATACAATACTTGCTGTGGGACAATGGTCTTGAACTCTGTAAAGATTTGTCACTTGTACTGGTTTAATAAAATGCTGATTGGCCAGTGTTGAATAAATGTACGTAGGCTTGGGAGAGAGAAGAAAAAGAGTATAGAGAGTTGAAAAAGAAGTAAATGATTTAATATATATATATATTAAATCATTTACTTCTTTTTGATTTATAATGATTTAATATATATATTTATTTGATTTATTTGATTTGATATATATATATATATCAAAGTCTTTAAAGAGACAGAGTACAGACAGTCATAGCTTAAAGGAGGAAAGATAATAAAATAAATATTAAAACAAGTAAGCCACGTAAAGGTGGAGAATTTACAGAGTCTTGATTATGTATATTATTGTGTTTTATTTGAATTTTTTGACTGCAAAGCGACATTTGATTCTGGGGATTGCTAAGCTAAATAAACATATATATTTTAAAAGTATCTTGAATTCAAAAGATGGGTCTAAGGATATGTTGCTTTGGAAAAGAGCTCCTTCTTTTGTTTCCACAGAGGATGAGAACCTGTGGATTCATTCCAGGCTAATGTGGTTTGATGGACATGAAACAATGAAATGTTGCTGTGAACACCCCCCAAAACAAAATACTTTGACCAATCAACAGCAGGAAGCAGTTTGGAGAAGCTACACCCATATTCCCAAATATTGTTTATAAATGTTCTTTTATATTTAAAGGGGGATATGCTATAAAGATTTTCATTGGTATGGATCTTAGTTTTTTGATACAAAGCTAAGGTCAATTTTGTTTCATGTATATTTCTGCTCTTGATTAAGGTATTATGTTTGTGCAGCTCATTTAAAAATGTAATGTATAATTTAAAAATATAGGAAAAGAAAAACAGAGAAACTACAAAGTCAAACTGGTTGATGAGCATCCAGAATGAGTGGCAGTTGCCATCCATGTTTAAAATTCACAATTACTATCTTTAAAATCTCTAAAGAAATCATCACATAGGCATAAGACAGATACAAGGGCCTTTTAAAAGATTGAGTGATGGCAGATTCATGCAAAGAAGTCAAATACCTTTGGTAAAGGGTCAGATAAACAGGTAGATAACATAATTCTCCACCCGGGCATTTAGAAGTTGGTGTCAGACACAATGCTAAAAACTGTAGACTGTGACTAGAGAGGACTGAGGAGAAGGTTACATTTCAAAAGACTGTTTTGAAAAGCCACTGAAAGAGCAAACTTATATTAGATATGTATGTCACTAGGCGTGTGTAATACAGCAAAGGCTCAAAGGGACTGTGTATGTAGTGTTAAGATGGGGCGTTAAGATTTTCACTGCCTAGATTAGCAGAAGAGGTGCCAAAGAGAAAAAAAGATGTATATAGAACTTAGGGCTCTCAAGATGCACTGGAGATCACACTGGGATGAAGTGGTGAATTCCAGGCAGTATGAATTTTATTTGTAATTCCTAAAGCTTGTCATGATACAAATATTTCTGAAAAGAGCTGTTAAAGTGTTTGCCAAGCTGGATATTAAATAAACAATGAGCGCTTTGTAGCAGAACTTTGGCATGTGGGAAAATCTCCAGGAAGAAACTGCAGGTTTCATAGAAACTCGTCCTCAACCTCGACCGACAGAAGCAAATCGAAGCAGCACCAACCACACCAGGCTTGGTCCCACTTAAAAAATCTCAGCAGTGCTGAAAAAGTTACCTATAAATAAAGCAATGTTAATTTAGCCATTGAAAGATAAGTAAATCACTCTTGGAAAACCAATCAAGAGTAAATGTGTACCTTAATTTTTAAAATGTTGCCATCTAGTGGCTTCTCATTAAAAAAAAACTAATTAGTGACTCATTCAAAAATGCCTTGGGGGCTGGAGAGATGGCTCAGAGGTTAAGAGCATTGCCTGCTCTTCCAGAGGTCCAGAGTTCAATTCCCAGCAACCACATGGTGGCTCACAACCATCTGTACTGAGATCTGGCGCCCTCCTCTGGCGTGCAGGCATACATGGAGGCAGAATGTTGTATACATAATAAATAAATAAATCTTTAAAAAAAATGCCTTAGGAAAACGTTCCCTTGGCAGCTCTCAACTATTTAAATATTACATACACATCTGTTTTGAGAGACAGCATCTAGATTCGGACTACAGGGTGTTGAAGGTTTGCTTCATCCTGTATTGGCTGCTTGGCCAACAGAAAGGTGTTACTGTCTTTAATTCGCATGCTCACTTCTCAAAGTCGATAGGAAGTACTAAGAGCAACCATATGAGGTTGTTTAGAAAAGCCTGGAGCCGATAGTACATATGCAAAGATGACAAGCAGTATATTACTTAACAAGGAAAGCGTTGGAGAATAACTTGGGCTCTCAGTGGCATTCAAGTTTGAGTGAGGCGTCCTTTGACAGGATAGCAAGTTTCCTGACAGTTCCAGTTTGAATGCTGTGTTTTTAGGAATTTGTAGAAAGACTACAGAGGTACATGGGTGCTATTTAGATGATGGTCGGTAATGAATGGTATGTTCTATCTTTGAGAGATTCTTGTATCAAACTGACTGTGATTTACCATGATAATATTTATAAAGTCCAATTCAGACCTGGTTTGGTCTCTTCTTTATTTCCTGCAAGAACTTACCAATCATCCCATGAGAACTTAAATGCGGTGGGTGGGGGACTGCAATGCAATGCAGTCAGCCCTGAAACTGTCTGTCATGAAGATAGGGGCTCTCCCTCTCCATCTGGAGCATCATTGAAGATGTCATGTGGCCATGTCACATTTCACTCTTCAAGCCTGTCCTTGGGGCTTAGTTGAAATTTATTTCACCTACCTGATGAAACAAAGTGAGATGATCTTCAAAAAAATGTTTGACAGGTGTCTCCTACGATCTGTGAGAATACGATGGATAAAATGCTATCTGACGCTATGATGGGGGATTTACAGCGAGGCAAGTAGCTATGGTCACAGGGTTACTCAGTAGACTGGAGTCATTGGGGGGAGGGAGCATGCTACAAGATAGTCAGAAACACCTTTCTTCGTGAAATTTTGGGATGGAGCAATGTTGTAGGCATCATTTAAGACGGCTCCAGGCACTCCTGGAGTAGTGACTGACTCCTGCCATTCATATCTCTACAGCCTCCTCCCTTGTTTGTGACTTGGAACTGAGAACTCACTCTTAATCACTACAAGGCGGCAAAAGTGAAGGGTCACTTGTGAAACTGGGTTACAAAAAATAACCCGGTGGCTTCCAGTCTACACATTCCTGCTTGCTAAATTGCGACAAGAGAAGAATGCAATCACCAAGCTGTGAACTATCCTGTGGGACAAGGGACAGGAGGCTAGTCCAAATCACACAGCCGATGAAAACCTAATGCCCTCAGTGCAACAGCCCATAGAGAATCAAATGCCACCAAGTCCCGCCTGAGACACTCCGAAGCACATCCTCCGCCAAGCAGATCCTTGAAGGCTTCGATCTCAAGGAAGAGAAGCCAAGGAAAGCAAGCCCTGGATTTTTGACTCACAGTGATGCTGAGGTGGCCAGTTTCCTGTCGAAGTGACAGAGAAGAGGAATAGCATTGTGCAGCAGTAGCACAGTTGACGAGATGGTTAAGCTGCCAGCTGTGGGCCCTGTCTGTTGCAAGGAGTTAAGATTTGCTTCCACCATCACAAGAGTTTCTTTTTTAAATAAACCTTCATCATTCACTCTTTGAGACTTACAGATGCATATGTATATTTTAATCATCTTAACTCCTGCTCTCCCTCCAACTCCCCTTTCCTACCTCTCGACTTCATATGCAAGAGGGTTTTTTTTCTTAAGATTTACTTTATTTATGTATTTATGTATATGAGTGCTCTATGTGCATGTGTTCCTGCATGACAGAAGAGGGCATCAGACTCAGTTATAGACGGTTGTGAGCCAGCAAGTGGGTTCTGGAAACTGAACTCAGGACCTCTGGAAGGGCAGCCAGTGCTCTTAACTGCTGAGCCATCTCTCCAGCCCAGGAATTTCTTTTAATGAAAGAAACAACGAAAGTATTATTTTTATTCCTTTATATTGCAGCTTCTTTCATCTCCTGAAGGTAGGCTGATCTATCCGTGCATGTGATATTGTGCACATTTGTATATCTATGCTGTATATATAGGATATATGCCTACAAATGTGTTCCAGATCTTTGAGACAAAAATCATTGCAAAGTAAAAATTCAACTGAAAATAAACAAAAAGGACTGGGGAGATGGCTCTGTCAGTTAAGTGCTTGTCACACAAGCATGAAGCCCAGGACTCATGTGGTACATGCCAGTAGTCCCAGTGCTAAGAAGGCTGAGACAGCAGGTAATCTAGGGCTTGCTGCCAAGCTTGAATGGCCACACCATTGAACTCCAGGCTCATTTTGACCCTGTGTCAAAAAAGAAACGAGGGGTATGACTGAAGAATATATATCTGGCATTTACTTTTGGCTTCCATGTACATACACATACATAATCACCTATGCACACATACACCACCACACACACACATACATGCATACACATACATATACACACATGCATGCATACACACACATACACACAGAACAGATACTTATGACTACCTCTAACTTTGCATTTTCTCATGTATGAGGCTTGCAGAGACTACTCAAAGACATTACACTTCATTTGGATTTAATGTGTTTTGAGGCCTGACTTCACATGATCATGTACCTGCAAAAAGAAATGAACCCTGTTGAACCCTGTTCATTCCTTAATAATCCAAACCCCTCTCTCCTCATTTTCCCCAGAGATAAACTTGTTTGAATTTTATGACCATGATTCCATATTGTTGCTTCAGTCTCTGAGAAATTTTTTGTTGTTGTTGTTGTTGGTTTTTTTTTTTTTTTATTTTTTTCGAGACAGGGTTTCTCCGTGGCTTTTTGGTTCCTGTCCTGGAACTAGCTCTTGTAGACCAGGCTGGCCTCGAACTCACAGAGATCCGCCTGCCTCTGCCTCCCGAGTGCTGGGATTAAAGGCGCGCCACCACCGCCCGGCTTGAGAAATTTTTCTAAATGTGGCAGCCAGTGACTGGTAAACTCACGCCAGCCGGGAGGAGGACAAACAAGGCAACTCGAAGTCTTTGGTGACAAACCGACAAATTTCCCTTGTGAAGACTAGTGCTGCTTCAGAGTGAGTGGCAAGTGACAATGTCTATACGCTCCAGGGAGATGGAGACTTTCACCGAGCTGATTTAGTGTGGGGAAAGACAACAGACTTGGAACCCGTGAGGGGCCAGAACAGGAGTGAGCACCCTTCCATTAATACTTAGAACTCTGAAGAATATTAAATACTTTTCTATTTTTTTGAGATAAAGTCTCACTATATATTCTAGACTGGTTTTGAACTTGCCGTGTAGCCTAAGCAGATCTCAAACTGTGATTCTGCCTCAGCCTCCCAAATGCTTGGATTTCGTAATGTCACTATACCTTACTGATATTAAATACTTAAGGTTAAAATCTCAGTCATCTTTCATTATATCACCCTCAGGATACTGAAGTCTATGGACGTCCAGGTTCCCTAATTGATGTGGTATGGTTCGTGCATGGAGCCTATGGACATCATCCTGTGGACTTCACACCGTCTCCCAGATATTTATAATAGCCACTGCAATAAGAGTATTGCATAATTGGTTTTTGTTCTACAATTTGTTATACAAACCGAACAGTAGTGGCTTTCAAAGATGAACTCCACTGTATGTTAGTTATACACCACAATCCTCTCTAAAAGCCTCCAACTGATGAAGACATACATCGAACTCACCATTGTGTTCATTATGAGTGTCTGCATAAAAAGACAGTTTCTAGCAAAGTTGAGTCTCAGACTCTGGTGATTTTAACAACTAAGTGAAGTGAAGAGAAAAGCACCACACCTGTAGATTAATCTGGTTATTAGAAAGGGAAATCCAAAACTACATAGCTAGCTTTTAATATGTATGTATTGCAAACTAATTTATCAGATTTTTTTTTTGAGTCAGTGTTTCTCTGCATAGACCTCGCTGTCCTGGAATTTGCACTGTAGACAAGACTGACATCAAACTCAGAGATCCACCTGCCTCTGCCTCCCAAGTGCTTGGATTAAATGCGTGAGCCACTACCACTGGCAATTTATCAGATCTTATGTGAGGCAGCATCATAGTTAGAAGATAACTTTAAATGCTTGATTTGTTTCCACTTGTCCAAAAATTGAAAAGCTTCATGTCTGAAAAGCATTCATTGGGGCATGAGGTGTGTAGGTATGTGGCTGTTGCACTTTTTTATTGCTGTTTTGTTTGCTTTGGTTTTTAAGACAGGATCTTATAACACTGGCTGACCTGAAACTCACAATACAAACAGAATGGCCTTGAATTTGAGATAATCCTCCGGTCTCAGCCTCCTGAGCACTGGAATTATAGGTGTGCAACACCAAGCCCAGCTTGCATTTTCATTTTGGATGTGAGTTTTCTTGGTTGCAATGTGTAGATCAGATTGCTGGACCAATTAGAGATAAAACATTTCCAAACACTATTGTTTATTATATTTTAACATCTAATACCTACACCACCAGTTAGCCGCCAGAGGGGAAAGACACAGAGCTGCCTGCTGGAACCTTGCCCATAGGCCATGAGCCTCGTGGTAAAATATAAAATAATGGAAATGGGTTATAAGAACTAGCTAGCAACACACTTAAGTGATTGTCCAAGCAGGGATTTAAATAATACAGTTTCTGTGTGATTATTTAGGGAGTGTGAGTGGCCAGGAAATGAACAAGCAGCCCTCTACAACACACACTCTCTCTCTTCCCTACTGATTTCCATAATGGCTGGACAAGTTGACATTGCCATCAGCAAAAAAATTAAGGATTCTTTGTCACCACATCCTTGCCAGGATTTGCTGTTATTTGTTTTCTAAACGATAGACATTCTGATTGGGATGACACAGAATCTCAAAGCTGTTCTAATTTGCATTTTTTTTTTGCTGGTGGCAAAGGATGTTGACTATTTTGTCAAGTATTTATTATCCATTTGTGTTTCTTCTTTTAAAAACTCCAGTTTATTAGTATAATTATTGATGGAATGATCCAAGAGAGTAATACTTGATTTCTATAGTTATTTTATATATCCTTGATCTTAATCCCATGTTAACAAAGACTGTTCTCCTGCTCTGTAAACTGTCTCTTCACTTGGCTGTTTTTTTTTTTTTTTTTTTTTTTTTTTTGTCTGTGCAGAAGCTTCTTTATTTAATGCAATCCCATGTGTCAGGGCTTGAGATTATTCACGTGCCACCGGATCCCTTTTCAGATGCTCCTTACTTAAGTCTCCATCTTCAAACATTCTACCTTTGCTTTCCTCTAGGTGTGCACACATTGCAGAACTTACATTAGAGTCTTTGATCCACTGAGCTAACTCTGAGCAGAATGAGAGACAGAGTTAGTGTCATTTGTCTGCCCGTGGAGACCTGGCTTTCCCATCACTGTTGTTTGTTCAAGAGGATGTCTTTTCTCCAATGCATGGTGTTTTTCAGTCTCATCAAAAAACAGGTGGCTTTAACTGTGTGGGTTTATTTTGTTTTGTTTGTTATTTTGTTTTTTTGAAGAAGGTCATTGAGATTTTTATGGGAATTTTATTTACTGTGTAGACTGCATTTAGTGACATCACTATTTTCATAATATTAATTCTGCCTATCCATGAACATAGGAAGCTTTCTTATTTTCCAGTATCTTCCTTAACTTCTCCTTTCAGCATCTTAAGAAAAAAAATTTCATGGATACATAGTTATATAAATATTTTTATATAAGTAAATATAAAAAAGATATAAATCATGTGGCTTAGTTACCAATTGTATAGAGAAGTCAACTGTATTATGACTTTTTCCTTTCTTTCTTTCTTTCTTTCTTTTTCTTTTCATCTATTTATTTTATATCCAAGCCCCACAGCCTTCCCCCTTTCTTCCCCGTCTAGTTCCTAACCCCCATCACCCCTTCCAACTCCTAATCTACACCTCTCCCATCTCCATCCAGGGAAAGGCAGGTAGGACTCTTAAGTATTAATAACATTTGGCACATCAAGTTGCAGGCTGCAGTAAGACTGAGTTCCTCCCCATGTATTAAGGCTGGGCAATTTGAACCAATATGAGAAGTAGAGTCCCACAGCCAGTAAAAGAGTCAGAGACAGCTCGTTTTCCCACTGTTAGAAAAGCCCAGGTTTAATAGATACAAACGCTCCGGGATAACTTTCCAACCCCCGAGAGAGAGGTGTGGCAGCGGTCCTGAGCATCTCTGAGGAGGGGGGTCATCGTTTGGCAGTCTTTCTCGGGGGCGAAGTCTGGTCTGAGGCACCTCCCAGGGGAGAGGGCTTAGAGTGAAACTTCCACCCAAACATTCTAGACTCTGGATGTACGGATGTCAGGGGCTTGGGTGAAGCATCCATCGGAACACAGGCTACTTATCCGCAATTGCTAGGAGTCTAAGCTGGGGTTCTCGCCTAGCCTCCTGGGAGATTCCCCCGTGCCAGGCTCCCCTCCCCACCCGGAAATACCCCTCAGCAGTCCCCCTCAGAACTCTCCCACTCTGTGCTCCCGCAACCTGATCCCCCACATTCCCATTCCACCTGCCCTGAGTTCCCTCGCACAATCTCTTCTGTTCCCCCTTC